GCAAGAGTGTGGAGAAAAGGGAACCCACTTGCACTGTTGGCAGGAATGCAGGCGGATGCAGACACTGTGGAAAACAGTATGGAGTTTCCTCAAAAAATTAAAAATGGAACTGCTTTATGACCCAGTGATTCCAATTCTGAGAATATATCTGAAGAAACCCAAAACACTGATTTGAAAGAATGTACGCACTCCTATGTTCATTGCAGCGTTATTTAAAATAGCCAAGATTTGGAAACAGTCCACGTGCCCATCAGTAGATGTGTGGATAAAAAAGCTGTGCTACATTTACACAATGGAATACTTCTTGGCCATAAAAAAGAAGGAAATCTTACCCTTTGTGACAGCAGGGATGGACCTGGAGAATATTACACTAAGTGAAATAAGCCAATCAGAGAAAGACAAGTACCATATGATTTCACTTACATGTAGAAGCTAGTGGACAAAATAAACTAACAAACAGAATAGAAACAGACTTACAAATACAGAGAATAGACTGACAGCTGTCAGAGGGGAGGAAGGCTGGGGGGGGGAGAGCAAAAGGGGGTTGTGGAGGGAGGAGAAGAGGGTAAGGGGGGACAAATGGTGGTGGAAAGAGACTTAACTTTGGGTGGTGAACACATAACACAATATACAGATAATACATTATAGGATTGTACATTTGAAATCTATATAATTTTATTAATCACTGTCACTCCAATAAATTCAATAACATTTTTCTTAATATTTAAATAAAAAAGAATTGTGTTTGATTGTAAGACACAGACAAACATAATGTAATCACTGACCCGAAGAATCACTGCTACGCCCCTAAGTCTCTTTGGAGTTAAGACCACATTTTATAATTTTGTGTTGTTTTTCTAACAAAGTTAAAATTGTCTGACTGTTTAAATGATCCCACAGTGAATAAAGGTATTACAGAAAGAAACCATAATTTTAGGGTGGCCTGTTTTTATTAACTTTCATACTTCTGCAGACCATTTTTAGGTTAATCCAACTGGTCTATGGATGGAATACAGTGCCAATTATAAAGTTTTAAAGGGAGAGGTCCTCAAATATAACATTTCTTCTCCTCCTGGCAAATACATATCTATTCTGAACCTCAAGACTGACTGGCATCTTTTCTGTGAGGACTTTCCTTTTTTCCTCAAACAAACAGTCCTTCAGGGTTTCTGAAATTTTTTCCTAATATTGCTCTACAGCAGGCAACACTTTTTATTCAAGTGCCCTATGTGGTTTTTTTAAAATATTTTTTTATTGAATTTTAGAGAGGAACATCTACGAGAGAGAAACATCATCAATTGGCTGCCTCCTGCACACTCCCTACTAAAGATCGTGCCTGAAACTGGGCATGGGCCTTCACCGGGCACGAGCCTTGACCAGAATAGAACTGTGATCTCTTGGTTCCTGGGTTGATGCTCAACCACTGAGCCATGCCGGCCAGGCATCAAGTGCCCTATCTTGAGTTGTGAAATGAATATATATCCTACTACATACAGTATGGGCTCCTCATAAGGATAGGACCATTCTTTACCTTCCTATCCTAGCATTCTCCACAGTACTTGACACACACTCATCAGTACTCTTAGATGAAGCAGTACTTGAAAAGCAGCATTTAAATAGTCAGCTCTTATGAACACAAATGTAATGATTACGACCATATTTGTTCAAGAGAGCCTTCCAATGTAAAGAAGAATGAGGGTCATGCCATAAATCAAATGGATGAGCTTTTCCCTTCACTTATATGTCCTTCAAATCTCTCCCAAGTATGTAAGTTTGATCCCTGTGACTTCTTTGTTACTAGGTCAATATCATTCCCAAAAAAACAACAATAAAAAGAATATATATCAGCCAGCTTATGTAAGTCATATGTTCATGATAAGCAACTAAAAAAATTACCTAAATATGAATATCACATAGTATGCTTCTGGCTACCATTCTCATCTTAAAGCTAATTATTGGTCTAAATAAGAACATCAGTCTTACAATAACTTGTGGCTTAAGAATTACATTTTATACAGGCCAAACAAAATTAACTCCTCCCTCCTCCAATGTTGTAGCACATCGTTGACAATTCTGGGCCTCCATTATTTCCCCCCACCCTGCAATAGATAAAGATTTTAGAATGTTTTGCCTTGACATATGCTCACAAAGGGTTTCATAAAAAGAGGGCTAATCAGCATTCACCTTGCTACTCGCTGAAATAACAGTTTTGTAATAATGGTTTTTAAGTTTTCTCTAATATTGTCTCATTTAACAAAATAATACAGGAAGCTCGATATTATTTTATCCCCATTTTACGCACAAAGAACTTTAGCGATTCATCCATGAGCACACACCTCCTAAGTGGCAGAACTGGGGCTGGAGCACAGTTCCTGTAACACCAATAAGGACAGAGGGTCCTCAGTGTATTTCCATTTCCACAAACATTGCTATGGAGGGTCTGAGCTCCAGACGCCAAACATCATAGAAAAGGAACTCCAAAGAGCACAGGCTGCCTTTCAAACACAGGCTGATTCTGCGCCATTCTTCCTCTGTATTCCTGCCCCCTCCCCATTCGGATTCTTTGTTTTATACTAGGCACAGTGGATGGTTGACAAGAGGGATAACAAACCAGAGGGGGAGGTTTAAATTCATTCCCAAAGTGACTGCGGCATAAACTAGGTGGGAGGTGCTGCTGTTTGGTTAAATGGAGAATGAGAATTTCAAGGATCACAAAGTTTCAAATCACTCCCCTTTAAAAAAAAAAAGCAAAACTATTGGTGATGCATGTAGGGGGAGAAGTGGTATACAAATTGAGTAGAAGAGTCACTTACATATTCTAAATCTGTTCTGTTAAAAAAATAAATTAAAACTTTTAAAATTACCACAGCTTGCTGCCATATTTAAACACTTTTTTTTTTTTTTTAAGTAGAAAAAGCTAACAGAAAAAGCTAACAGTGTAACAATGAAAATTCATGGGTTTTTAGTATTTGAGATGGAGTAGAGACGAGGCAATTGTGCATTAATATTTCAGTATAAAAGTGCAAACCTAGTTTGCTTTTTAACTTTATTATATCTATTCTTCATAAAAAGTCTAATGGCTTTATTGGAATAAAATCTACATACCACAAAATTCACTAATTTTTAAGTACACAATTCAATATTTTTTTAGTATATTTACAGAATCGTGCGAACAGCACAATCTAATTTTTGCACATTTAAATTACCTCCTTCCCACAAGACAAACAAGTCTAGTTTACTCTTAAGAGAAGAGAATCAACGCCCAAAGCCACTTTACCCAACTACTGTGATATATTTGATTTGGAAATTTATGGAAAATCTATGATCCATTTAGCTGGTGTTAGTGTAAACTTGAAAAATTAAACACTGACGTTTAAAGAGCAAGAAAACTAATTCCAAAGACAACCTATTTGGTGAACTCTATTTGGGGTATCAATTCAGCATCTGTATGTTGTATTCAAAAATAAATTAAAATGTCCCTTTATATCCTTGATATCAGCAGGAGTAAGCAGTTATTCTAGTTCAGTAGACCTGAGTCCTATTAATGGTTCTAAAGATAGTGCTAGTATCACAATCATGAACCTAAAGTGTCTCAGATACACTCGCTGCAGAGTTATGATGACAAATTTAAATGTACAGCAACATAAGTAAAAACGTAATGACAACAACATTTTAAAGACTAGTAAATCGTGTAGGGCAAGTAAAATGCATCAATCCAAATATCAGTTAAATTCGTTATTTCTTTTGCCCAATGTTTGAAGATTTAAAAGTCTCTATGTTGTTATACCTCCAGACTTCTGCTGCTTTTACATGGGAGATATAATTTGCAATAATAGCCTTTTAAATATCGAAAAGAAATCTTTAGAATAAGACCCTACTAATCTGTTCAAAATGGTAAGCAGGAGACCATATGCATAGTTTTCGTTCTGCAGATATAATTTAAATAAGTAACTCTGTTAAAATTGGCATAGAAATGAAGAATAGATTAGTCTATGTCCAGGAATTTGGGATAATACTGGTTTTTGACAGCCAGCCAAAGATCAAGAAGACCTTGTTATAAGCTTATTATGATGCTCACACAACTCAGGGCTCCAGGGTAAGTCCAATTTTATTAATGACGATGACATAGCACTTGGCTGCATCTCCTGCATAGCACCTTCCTTCGGCAGCAAGCATTTTCAAAAGGTTGAGAAAGCCCTCAATTTCTGAAATTTTCCTCAGTAGTTAATATTTTTCTGAAGGTTTAGAAAGTCTCCAATTTATAAAACTTCCTTCCCAATTTGTACTTTCCAAAACATAGGTAGCAAAGCAAAAAATGACTGAACAGGGCATCTCAAATGCCAGTAAGAAAATAAGTGAAAACTGCTTTTTGGCTAAACTAGAAGTTCATAATCATGGTTACTATATATTCTAATTCATTTCTTTTGAAATCGTCATGAGATCTCCCAAGTACTTATTTCAATGTTACAAACAATACCATCACAAATCTCCTGGTGAACTTAAAATTCCCTCATGCAAAATTTAAAGCAGACTTGCCATATATTTCAAATATCACATTCTAACTGGTTAAAAATTGGTTAACACTATGGGAGGCAGTGCAGCCAGCTCTTTCACTGTTCCTAATGTTCATGTAGATTTTGATCATGAGCATATATCACACAAAAAGGTAAAAATGCCAGTGATACCCTGCATTTCGTTTTACCCAATGTACCCACTCTCCTCTGGATTTGTCAACAGAGTTTCTAGTCTTAGAGCAGTCTTAACTGGTTTACAATTTATCCCTTTTACTTCTCCTGCCAGATCTCTGGAGGAGATGTTAATGAGTCTAGTAATGGTTTAACAGGCAACTGGAGAAATAACAAAGAAAAGTTAAAGGTGTGAATAATCAACAGGCTGGAATAATCGAGTCCTGTGTAGCCAAGTTAACTAAATACCCAAGCGAGACACCTCGCTAATGTAGGGACATTATTCCCTCAGGGGAGGCAAAGGAAAAAGCCTACCTGCTTGACCAGTGGTGATGCTGACGGCTGCAAAGAGCCTCTGGGATCGGCTTAAGTCAGAAACTCCATTGACAGCTTCAACTTCAAAAGTGTAGTTGGCGTGGGCCAGCAGGTCCATGACGGTGACATAGTTGTCCTCTAAGCCGGTCTGCTGGGGCATGTATCCAATGTTACTCCCACAGGGGACACACTCGCCCTGCTCCCAGCTGCACCGCTTGCACAGCACCCTGTAGGTCACGTCGTTTCTTCCCCCGTTGTCCGCAGGGGGGCTCCACTCCAAACTGACTGTGGTTTGGTTGATGTTGAAAATGAGGTTCTGTGGTGCAGACGGGGGCCCTTCAGGAACCAAAGATAAACAAACAAATAAACAAAAATAGAAAAAGGCAAACAAAATGCACCAAAGGACCATGTGGGTCATTAAGCCAGCGGCTCAATTACCATAGAGAAAACGAGTTGAAATGCTTTCTTTCACATAAACGTTTCATTACCTTTCCTAGAGAAGCCATATAAAAGCCTCCTTGAATTCACTTGGCAAGAGGCTTTATTTATTTTCCATTTAATATGTCAAAATGAAAACAGGATAACAACTGTCTTTGTACTTTTGCCACAGTCTTTAGCTATTTTACTTCCAAGCAATTAAAAAACAACAGTTAATACGCCTAAAAAAAAAACAGTTGTGAGGTTGTTTAAAAATAGTTTTCCTTTTAACCGTATAACAGAGAATACATCTATTCATTTTTAATGTGCTCAAGAATGATTTATAGGACTGTCTGGAATTTGGTTTGGATTTGGGACTTTCAAACACTCATTAATTGAAGCACCAAGATGTGAGATTTGCTCTATTTAGTGATGGAATTTTAATTTAGAAACCATTACTTTTTACTCACATTTCATACACATGTAAGACTCAAATAAATAACTTTTACATTTTATGATTCCTATTAAATAGATGTGAAAAATATTATTAAAATGCATCTTTATTTTGCAGACATAAAAATTAAACTGAAGTTGAAGTAAGATGTATTTTGCATTACTGTTTAGCTTTAGAGGTTCATGAAAAATTTTTAAATATTTAATAATAATTAAGAATATTCACAAATTCTTTGCCTAACTCAGTGATGTCACAATAGTACAAATGTAGGAAGGGACTCTTGTGAACTTACTTGTGCACGCAACATATGGTGGGTCAGATGGAGCCCTATAATATCCGTCCTCACATTCACACCTTGAAGAGCCTTCTTTATCAGAAAAACTGTGAGTCGGACATCGAGAGCACTGAAGATCTTGAGAGGAAGATTTGTAGAATCCCCGGCCACAGGCTGGGTATGCAAAAGAAAGTGAAAATAGAAACATAAGAGCAAGTAGACCTTTTTAAAATTTCATTACTATTTAGCAAATAATAAAATATGAAATATGATTTGTGAACAAGCTGTTTATGATAAAATTTTGTTTAGTGTATATCAATAACCCAATTTTATAATACTCCATTTTAAGACAAAAATAATAAAAACCCAATTTTGTACCTATAGTTCACATCAGTTTAAAGTCCAGAGCCCAAAACTGAACACAAGCATAATTTGTTTAGACAAAATCTTAGGATATTTAATCAAAGGTAACGTTGATTTCAATATCATTAACTTTTGTTTGCTAAACTGCATTAACACACTCAAAAGTTATGTTTTCTTCACCAAATATGGCTGTACAAGAACGTTTTTTGTTGATTTGATTTATAATAAAAAATTTAAGAAAATTTTAATCACTTACTAGAAATAATGCTGTAAAATGTTTCATTTGAAAATGATAGAAATATATTACCTTCAAATTTTCAGGAAACTTCAAAATATAATTTCAACCAATTTAACTTATAAGGCAGGTGGGTTTCCACTAAGTGAACTTCCTTGTTACTAAAAATAATGAAATCCCATAAATAGGAGAAACCTATTCACCAGAATTAAGGAGAAAGCCATCAACTGTAAAGAGACCAGGACCGTTTCTCCCCAGCCAAGAGAGGCTTAGGGTAGAGTCACATTAATACAGCAAATGCTCTCAGCAACGGACAGACAGGCACAGAAAGCATCTCTATCACCTCCTAGTGAGGTTGTTTTTATTCACTTACATCCTATTTGTTATTAAATCAAGAAACCTTGAACCATTTACTGTCACTGGATGTTTTATATATTCATTTTCAATTAAAATTTAGCAAATTAAATTTTTATTATCTCGACAATGTTTTATTAATAGATGGTATGATACATTAAATATATATAATAAATTCAATTTGTCCTTCATATTTTTTAAATGAATATTTAAGTTTTAGTGACCTTCAAATTTAACAGAAATTAATAAATCATATCTTTATAGATTTATAACATTTAACGTAAGTTCAAATATAACTAAATTGTTATATTCAAGTTGACTTAATGTTCTTAACTTGGGCATTATTCAGTAACTTAATCACATTTTCACTCTTTGGTAGGAAAAGCTATCGTATCTTATCAAGGAGGTATATTCTCCAGTAGAAAATATTTTCTACTTTTGCTCACATGCTGATACATTTGAGAGCTCAAAATCACCTTCTGAGTTTTAAGAAAATAAAGCCGCTTTACATTAACAAGATAGGTATTTTAGATAACTTAGAAACTTAAAGACATGTTACACTGTGATAGGTAAGTGTTAGATATGGAAACAGAACTATAGCCATCTCTTTGTAAATATACCATCCACTACTGAGCTCAGAAGCCAGTCTGCCTTTAGTTGGCTTCCTCTCTTCATACAAGAGGAAAAACTCATAACATATTGAGCAAAGCAGCTTAATGCATCTTTACATGTTCTCAGTAGCAATTACTACAAATCTAAGACACAGAGAGAAAACAATGAGATTGATTACAAAATAATATAATAAAAATATAACACTTAAAAATGTCTCCAAAGATATGATCTTGCCACAGAAAAGAATGGTGAACGGCTCGGTTAAAGAATTCAGGATGGAAACTCCTTTCTTTAAATATTCATTGTATCCTGCTCTAAGTATTATCTGTAATTCAAAGTCCAGATACAACATCTATAAAATAGAGAAGGCAATGCTTTATTCACAACCTGCAACTTGATAACATTAAGACCCAGAGAATTAAAAACAGAAAAAGAGAGACAGTAACAGGAGGCTCGAGGGGAGAGACAGAGAAGAGTTATATGGTCAGAGCCTCTGATGACATCATTTACTTAGTTTTTACAGGGAGAGGAGGTTAGGAAGAGGGACACAGGGGGTACACAGGATTCAACATCTACTAGGTGAGTCTTCCAGGTTACTAGGCAGCAAACTACCTAGTGGAATCCCTCCAAATTTTCTATCTTCCATTGTCAATAAAAGCCTCTAACTAAAGGCTTATTCCCATTTTTCTCGCAAACAAGGGGGTACATTTTTTTGCTCAACATACATGATTTGTAGAATATGTATGGTACCTAATGTAGAGAAATTTAAAATCCTTATCATCAACTTTTATATTACATTAAATTCTGTTACCACTTTAACAGATGGGAAAGCAGATTTGAAGCAAAAGTAACCTGAGTTCTTCAAATAGTTCTGTTTGTCTGGGTTAAAACTGGATTTAGAACACAGGACTACTGATCCTCAGCCATATGCTATTCCACCCGCGTCGACTACTGAATGAGCCCAAGTCTGGCATTTATTCAATGGTTCTCAAGGGCTTTGGCAACCCTAAAAATTAATTTCCAAGGTGCCCCTATTGTCTTTAATTATACTCCTTTACTAATTTAAAGCTATTATTTTAACTTAGAAAACTATGAAATAATATCCTAGCATACCTTACAGAAGAGATATTAAATGGGTATTCTCAATTTCACTATGAATTTTGGCACTGACGATTCCTGCAAAATTATGGAGTACAGGCATGGCTCTTATTAAACAGATAATGATAGAAGCAATATTGGAAAAATGTGGTCCTAAAAGTCTTAACATTTTTTCTTGGAAGTAATATTTTGTTTCAGCTCGGTTAATATTGAAAATAATGAGTTGTAACAAGGCAGTTTTGACTTAACCTCTAGGGAAACTATTAATTTAGAGTTATTAAAAAGAAGTACAGCAGCCCCCTTCATCCGTGGTTTCGCTTTCTGCATTTCAGTTACCCAGGGTCAACTGGCACGGCTCTGCGATCCAGGATCGCCCGAGCAGATGATCCTCCTCTGATGTGCTGTCAAGATCAACAGGAGCCTAAACAATGTCACATTGCCTGCTTCGTTCACCTCACTTCATCTCATCACTGTGTCATCTCACACCATCACGAGAAGAAGGCTAAGTAATAGCACAAACAGGATTTGGAGAGAGAGAACCCACATTCACATAGCTTTTATTTTAGTACACTGTTATAATTGTTCTATTTTATTATTAGTTGTTATTGCTAATCTACTGTGCCTAATTTAGAAATTAAGCTTTATTATAGGTAGGGATGTATAGGGAAAAAATGTAGTCTATATAGTGTTGGGTAATATCCATGGTTTCTGGCATCCACTGGAGGTCTTGGAACATATCCCCCACAGACAAGGGAGACTATTGTACAAAATCTCTGGAGCTATGATATTAAGTCAAGAACATGCAACAACATAAGATGCGTCTCTTGCAATAACAGTGAGCAATTGGGTGGTTAAAAAGTTTGGGAAGAAAGTAACAGATGCTCTTAAAATTAAAATTTTAGCCTGGCCAGCATGGCTCAGCGATTGAGCATCAACCTATGATCCAGGAGATCACAGTTCAATTCCCGGTCAGGGCACCTGCCTGCAAGGGGTGTGCAGGAGGCAGGGGATCAATGACTCATCAGTGATGTTTCAATCTCTCTCCCTCCCCTTTCCTCTCTCTGAAATGAATAAAGACATATTTTAAAAAATTAGATGAAATAGCTACATGAAATAGCTTCAGTAAAATACTCAGTGACAGAAACTGGTGTGAAGTGACATATCTGAGAGTCAACCACATAGGAAGAATTAGATGAGTTCTCCAAGCTGCTCCCAAAAAGGCTACCTGGAAATCAACACAATTTCTCCTCTATAAATGCAGCTGGTTTTCTAAAAAGCACTAGCAAAAAGGTTTTAGGGGTAAAGGACTTCTGTAGCCTCAATCAAAGACAAATTCCCTTCATACATAACTACAAAGTATACAGGAATAACTTTCTAGAAATCGTGAAATCACAGTTTTAAAACTTTTCTTCCTTTGCTTTATTTCTCAATTTGTTCAACAGCATTTGAACTCAAAGCAGACTTTAATTAATATAGTACGTGTCTATGGTAAAGTTAATTACAATAAAAAACATACCATTTTAATTTCCTGCCTTTTGATGCTTTTTGCTTTTTTAACTGAACACTGTATTTTTTCCCCTGTTTATAATTTTTCTTTTTCATTGAATTTATTGGGGTGACATTGGTTAATAAAATTATATAGGTTTCAGGTGTACAGTTCTATAATACATCATCTGTATATTGCATTGTGTGCTCAACATGCCTTTAGATAATATTTCATTGTATTGATGAAAATTGGAAATATGTATAAAATCTGTTTTCAATATTTGATTACTTTTGTAAAAAAAATCTTTTACCTATTATTTTAGTAATAGTATTTTTTCAGTGTTACCACAAGGGCCTGGGATTAATTCCTTTGACTTTTTTTTCGGCCCTTAGGGCCTTAATGAATAAAACAACATAAATTCATTATTCTAGAGCCAAGAACCATAATCTTGTCAGATTTTATATACTAAGCAAGTTTTCATCTGATCTGTTCTTTAAATGAAAAAATACCAAAGAAAAAGGAAATCAAGGAAGACCATGAAATTTCTGTTTAATAGACAGCAACATTATTATCTACTTCAATATATCTACTAAATTATATTACAATATACTATATTACAAGACCTGTTATAGTATCTACTGCAAAGAAATAAATGTAATTTAATATATTTAATTTCAACAGTTTTACATAAGAATATTGTCCTAATTGGTTCAAATAATATTTGGAATTTAAATTCATTAAAAAGAACACAAAAGGCAATAGGGTTTCCCATTTGTAAATCAATTACTTAAGAGCTATAGTACTGCAACAAAATATCTCTGAACACAGAGGTATTTAAATATATAAGTGAATTGATACAGAATTCTAGAGCTCTGATTCTCAATTAAATTATTCTTACAATCTCACATTCCACAGCTGTCTTCAATGGGCGGCAAGTGTTTAAGTAACAGGCACCAGGTCTTTAAGTATATACCTCATGAGGCAGCCTGTGGAACAACGAGGGCACTGGTTTAAAAACTCTTGTGT